TTTAATCAAGAGCTTTTTAGTATTTTATGGACAGCTTATGTAATGTTATAAGGATTCAGCTTTAAACCTCCAGTGGGGGGTGCTTTTGTGTCATGTATACACCAATATGCTTAGGGCTTTGCAATTCAAAGACAAAGTGATCTTTGAGGCAATGGTATTGATCCATTAATCCCCATCATATCCCTGCAGGTGTATTATCGGCATTTAAACCTATTGTACCCTACAAATCTTACTTATTACCCCGTTAATCTTTGCGTTGACTTTTATATTGACCTGGGAGTGTTTTACTTATGCGCTATCCTTTCTTAAATGTAACAATTGATGTCACTCCTGTTTGTATTGCTTTGCAGAAGCTGGCCTTGTCACCACAGCAAACTCAGGGTGGTTCTGTATCCTCACCACATCCCTCCCAGCCCAGTCAGGAGGAATCCAGCCCATGTTCAGACATGTCAAGCTACGAGGAGCCACCGTCTCCCATGTCAGCAGCCAGCTCTGGACCTTTGGCTCCTGCCCCGGCTCCAGCCCAGGTCCCTGTCCGCCGTCAGCCGAGCAGGGCCTCGGACCAGGAGGCCTGCGTTGGGAGAGATGGAGCACCGCTCTGTCAGCGCTTCGTACCCAACGACCCCACCAAATGGAATGTGGAGGAGGTTTATGAGTTCATTCGTTCACTACCAGGTGAGTAGGCTTTGCTAAGAAGGCACAATCATAATGCTTTATACTCCGATGTGTTCCGTGTATGAAACCTGTTTACCTGTTATTAACTGTAGCTCGTGCCTCTGCTGTTTTCACAGGTTGCCAGGAGATAGCAGACGAGTTTCGCTCTCAGGAAATCGATGGACAGGCCTTGCTCCTGTTAAAGGAGGACCACCTGATGAGCACTATGAACATTAAGCTGGGACCTGCACTCAAGATCTTTGCACGCATCAACATGCTCAAAGACTCTTAGCAGGAAACCATGTGTGTGTATGGGTGTGTCTGTTTGTGTGTATTTGTATATTATAGCACTGATGGCACAGAGTACTGACTGCACTGTGAGCAGGCCTGCTCCATTACTGGACTGGTTCCTGTCATCCAGAATCTCACTCAAGTTTGACTCGACCTCCCAAACCAGATCATACTCACCGGCATCAGCTCAGTCGCCTTGTGACCATTTATGCTTCTGCTTGGTAACGTTAGAGTGACGTGTCAGACACTTCAGTCTGTGTTTACATGCAGTCACAGGAGAAGCTTTTCAGTTGCTAAACCTTAAAGGAGCCTGTACAAAAGCTGTGCCAAAATCTTTTATTTTTCCAGATGAAAAGAAATTATACTTTAAAAGTATACATGGTTGAAACAGCAGACGCATAAGTTTCCACCTGGCAGTGCACCTGGTGAGTTCTTTCTGGGTTAAAAACAAAAAAACTAAATGAGTTGATGTGAGTATAACTGTTAGTAGAAAAGACACCAGATGTCAAAACTGGAGACAAGTTAATAGCAAGCAGCAGCCTCTGGGGCTGAAAAAGCCAACGCACAAGTGCCAAAAACTGCAGTTTTTCTACAGTCGCTGGCTCTAAAAGCCATTAATCCCCCTTACCCAGTTTATGCTTCCCGTTGTCGCCCTCGCTAACAGTGGTACTGGCCAACAGTGACATCACAATTGCTGGCAAGCACGACACATCAGTGTCATGTAGGCTGGTGTGTACTATCATGCCACCATTTCAGTGACACAGTCGTACAGAAGCTCAGAGATTCTAGAGGGATTTTTAAAGCAAGGCAGATGCAGCAACAGCTTAAAAACATGACTTTGCTGTAGCTTTGCATCCTTTTTCTTCTTCTCCTATACCAATGCTCCTGTGAAGGATTCTTCTTAATAGGAGATGAATCTGATGTGCGTCAAGCACCAGTATAAATGGGTACAGGGCTGTAATGACGTCACGGTTGGTGTAACAAGCAATTTGAGTAACATAAGCTAGACTTAAGACCCCAATGTTAAAATGCTCAACTTTACTGTATCAATAAACATGTCTGCAGCCCTGTACAAAAAATGGTTTGGTCTTTCTGGATAGATTACACCTTCAAACAGCCTAATTGTATCTGATAGCTCTTGGCAAAGCTTCCATTCAGCTAAATAGAGTCGCTATATTTAACTTCTCAACTGTGTTTGGTGCCTTTGGGAGCTTTTTTTTAATGCCGTTATCTGACATTTTATATGGTATTAAAGCACTGCTGAACTTATTATCTGTGCAGGTATCTGTACTATAGATGCAGCTTACAAACCAAGCTTGCCAGCATTAACTGATAGCACTCTTTGTTATTGAACAAATAGATTCACCACAGCTCCAACACAACATGGACATATAGCTCAAAGTTTAAAGTGCCAGTCCATAAGTTGATAAGTGATGTTGCACTACATCCATCAATTACATAATCTGCTTCTCTGCCATAAACAGACGACGGGGGAAAACACCTCTATAACGTCAGCTTTTCAAGCTGGGGAATGATAATCTTCTATTACATGTGTAATCTGTTAAGCTGTGATCACAGTGCAGGAGAATTAAGATAACAAGAGTGTCCTTTTAGTACCAGATGTAACAGCAATTATCAAATGTCATTAAGCAGATTCCAGATGAAGATACTGATCCTGTGATAATTGCAGAAAAATGAAGTGTTATGTTTTCCCTGGAGAAGGTTTTTTTTTTTTTTGTTTGTTTTTTAAAGTCTCTAAAAGCTTAACTGAGGGAAAATGTGGCTACGAGAAGAGACAGTGCCAAGGTGCATTACCTGTTCAGTTATGATTGGGCCAGGTCACACTGCAGCACAGTCAGTGCTGAATGGAGGCATTGGGACAAAACATGAGAGAAGTCTCGATTTATTATATTATTAGACAAGTTTTTGTACAGTTTGGTTAGCGTGTGAATGAGAGCGAGGTGGCTGTACGTGCGGCTGGGAACAGAAGATTGCATTCATTAATTTGCCCATTTTTATTCACTTGATGCTCCTTTTCCTTTTCTCACAATGGACTCTCACAGCTCTCGAATACAAAGCTTGAATGCGAAGAAACCATTTAAGCAGCCTCTTTTGTGACATCGATTTTTCCCTTCCATCTGCCAGTTTTCTCCTCTGAACTTACACTGCTTACAAATGATTTTTTTTCAGCTGCTCTTTTTTTTGTTGTTGTTAAAGATTTACTAAAATATGATATTGATTTCTTGTATGAGATTTGTAAAAGTACACTAAATTATCAAAGAAAAAATGTGGGTACGCTGCTCTCTTTTTGTAGCAGCTCTGTTTTTGGCACTTATTCTCTCTTTTGCTTTAATGTTGGGGAAACGCTTCACCTAAAAGTGAGAAATCTGGAGTGGCATTTGTGAAGCGGTGCCAAAAAAAAAGTTTATATGTGCATCAAAGCTCAAGTGAGGAAGAAGAGTGTGAATCTGTTAAGTTATCGTTTTGCTTTTTTAACAAAAGTATAAAAGGTGTTTGATATTTTGAAATATGCAAATGTATAAAGTACCATTGGCTTGGGAATTTTGGGTTTGTTTGTTTGTTTTCTATGGGGGGAAAAATGTTCTTATTTACTTGTTTTGTGGGCGAGTTTGGAAAGTTGACATTTTTTTTTGATACTGCTTTGTTAAATGCTTGTATTTATCAAAACTGTTTGTTACACATTTTGCAGTCATAAATAATTTGCTATACAATTCTGTGTCGGGACATTTGTGTGTGTCTGTGGATTTTATTATTTATTTATTTTATTAATGGGACACCTCTAGTTGTTAATTTATATACAAAGCATTTAATTTCACAAATTCCATTTGAATGTGCTTGTGTTTTTTGGAGCATGTTATCAGAATTTTATGACCACTGTTTCTTTCTCTTGAAGTTCCAGACTCATGAGGACCGAAACTTAAAATGCTGAAATATCATCAGTTTTATTTAATTAAAGATGGAAAATGGTTTTGAAAATGGGCAGATTTGGCAATATATTTAGAGATTTCTTCAATTAAGCACCAAAGATCTAAATATAACTGGGCACCAAAGCATTTTTTTTTTAAAAGGCACATATTTCTTCTTTTGATACATGTTCAGTCTCCCTGTCACATTAAGTATTTAAAGAAATATGCTAATCTATAGACTGATCACAAATGAAATCCAAAAACAATTAACAAACAGAACACCATCTGAAATGATGGCATTATTATTATTATTAGGATATGATATAGAAAACATGAGCTTGAGAAGACACGCAAAAGCAAAGTAGCTTTTTAGCTCCATTTGTGTCCATTCCATTAGGCCTACTTGATGAGGGAGGTGAGGAAATTGAATATCATATAAAAATAAATATAAAATCCAGTATGTAACAAACCTGGAACCTGAACACACGCACAATATAAAAAAAAAAAATTATGGATCGTCTGGTTTATAAAGCATAAAGTAAACAGAACATACACAAAAAAATTAGTAATTCTAGAACAGGCCTTTTAAAAGTACTGGTGCAGCATTTGGGTAGTTCGGTATAACGCACTGGTTGACGGTTCACGTTCCTAAGCTGTGTACCTGCTCTTTCTCGAAATTGGAACAAAGATATTTCCAGGTGTTGAGCTCTCATAACGTTTCGTACAATGGCTGACGGGCGGTTTCCTTTTTGTTTCCACCGAACTATAATGAAGAAACAGGTAGCTCTAGTTTTGTTTCAGACGCAGAGACGAGCAGCGTACAGTACAGAAAACTGCAGCACAGACACGCCCACTGTTTTGATTTGAGAACGGACGAAACCAAAAGAAGTAGCGGCATTTTTAATGTCTTTTTCAAGGTAGAAAATAGTTTAGTTCAATGGTTTATTATGTTTATAGCTGCATTTTTCTATGTAACCACAGCCACGCATACAGGATAGATGTTGCTGTGAAACAGGAAAGGCGTCTATCATTGTTTAACCATCCCCCCCTTATTGGTGAAAATGGTTTAGTCCAAGTTTGAAACGACGTTTTGAACTGGAGGTTTTTAAACTGCGGAAAGAAACACTGTAACGTTTCTAACATACTACTCACCTCTAAAACCTATACTATATTCTTTAAATAACAGCAACAGGTAAGTTCGCCTTTAGAAAGGTGTCATATTTTCATTTCTGTGTAGTCCTATTTTTGACTTTAATAAATACATTTTTACTCATTTTATTTTATGTAATTTTTTTGTTAATACTTTAATGTACACATGTAATAGTACATTTTCTGTGTGTGGAGTGTAGGTGTACCCAATTTTACCCTTGTACCCAACTTCATTAGTTTTCTTTTTTTTTCCTAATAAATAATGTTTAACCTAAATATTTATGTTTATATCAATAAACATATTTATATCAATAGTTGCTATAGTGTGTGTGTGTGTGTGTGTGTGTGTGTGTGTACATATGTATGTGTGTATATATAAATATAGAAAAATGTGTGTTTATATAGATAGAGTTGAATATAGATACAGGACTATTGTACATTTATAGAAAAAGATGAAAACCCCTTATAATTTCCTAGAAGTAGTCACACTTTATGTTCTTTTTGATCACTAGTCCCCAAACCAGGGGGCAAATCTTTGAAACTGTAGCTGTGCTGTTTCTCATTAAAATATGACTAAAACTGTTGCTTGATTGTTAATCAATTGACGAACAGTCTCAACCATGACCATTTTGAGTGGAGGCGTAGTTAAAACCTGACAAAAGTGACTATTTGTACCACGTTAACGAGTGATTTAAATGTCTAGACTTCTTCTGAAATGCCAAATCAGAGAGAGGGAGCCACTGATGATTCCCCTGCTGACCTTCCCTGTCTGGAAAAACTTGACTCTCCAACAGGTACGTGGCAGTTATTACAGCAGTTATTGTTTTCAGGCACATTCAGGGGCCATTAGTAATTGAAATATTACCACTGTGGCAGTTTTAATTATCTGTGGGTGTGTGTGTCCTGTCTGTGGTGTCAGGGAGCCCACCCACTGCCTCATTATCCAGTCTAATGGAGCTGGAAAATTGTGTTTCCAACATGAGTCTTGCACATGAGATAGTGGTGAACAGAGACTTCTGCTTCAAACCCCGAAATCCTTCTACAGACAGGCAAGAAAACACTTAACCACATCTACAGTGACCTTGGTTATTCTTAGTTCCTATATTAATGAGTGTTTTTACCCTTGAGCTGTTCTTTTAATCTGCTTGTCTGCAGCCTGGAGGGTAGAGTGACAGAAATCGTTCACCGGGCCTTTTGGGACAGTCTTCAGGAGCAGCTGAACAGCGATCCTCCAAACTACAGCCACGCTGTCCTTCTGCTGCAGGAAGTCAAAACTGTGAGTATCTGGCATTGTAAGGGTCAAAAGGAAAGCACAAACATGATCACCAACCTTACAAAAGGAGAAATTAGCGCTATCTGATCAATAAAGCATTACTTTAATTCACAATGTATTTGTTATGATGCTGTCAAAAATATTCAGGTTTATAAGAAATGTGAAGACAAAAAAAATCTTACATTTTAGATCTTTTAGGGGTTTTTTTGTACCAATTAAAAAGTCATTTTTAAAGTGACATAAAACAGAAAAATCAGAGAAATACACGTCACAATGATATTACAACAGATTGGGTTTGGCAACTGTGTGGCAGTCCTTTATACATCACTTTGATGTGTAGAAATCCTGTTGTGGGCAGATGTCCCAGTCCTTTTCACACAAGAAAGAAGCTGAACAGCTGCTTGTTTCAGAATTTCAAAATTGATGAAATCTTTGTGCCTTACATTGAATGAAAATGTTGGTGATTTAAAATATACAGTACAAGGGAAGTGATTATCCAGTTCATTTCTTTGATCATACTGAAAAAACAACATTGCATATTTTGAGATGAAATATTAGGTCACTGCAAAGTGTATTTGTAGCTTCTGGGAACCCCAACATATATACCCAGATGTTTATCTTTAATATAGTCACACTACTGCGCCTCCACAAGGTTTGCACAGATTTATTTAAAACAGATGAGAGGTTCAGGTTTGGCTGCTTTGAGTGTACATTTACTTAGAGAAGCTCTGTCTTTGCACAATCTTCTATTTCCTGTAAATTTAAATAAGAAATGGAATAAGATCCCTTGAGCACATATGTAGATTTTCATATCTTCTCTTTTGATTCCAAAAAAAAGGAGAAGAAATTAAAAAAACAGAAAGAAACTGGCCATGTCATCTTTAATCAAACCCATATTCTACTCTACTTTTATCTTAGATGTGTGCTTGTATTTTATAGCTTGTTTAAGATTGTGTTTATCTGCCCAGGGATTGTAAACTTGGTAGTAGCTAAATCTTTATTAAATAGACTTAAAAAACAGTTCCAAGTGAGTGTTTGCAGTGTATTATATTAAAAGAACTGGATAAACTGAATACTTCGAAACAAAACATAACATGTTAGTGAAAACAGACATTTTTCTTCACATTAGATGCTTCAGTCCCTGCTCTTGCCTGCTCACGTCAGACTGAGGTCTCAGCTTGACGAGGTGCTGGATATGGATCTGATTGGGCAGGAGGTCGACCACGGGGCTCTGGACCTCCACCGACTGGCGGAATTCGTTATCAACACCATGGCATCTTTATGTGCTCCGGTGCGCGACCCAGAAGTCAGAGCACTGCGGGATCTCAAGGAACCTGTGGAGCTCCTGAGGTAAGAAGCAGGTTAACAACACCTGCAGCGAATAAACTTGTGTCTGACATGGAATCAGTGGCAGGCTGTGGCCCTGTTTAAAATCCAGCATGCAGCAAGCTGTATTCCTGTAATGACATCACTTGCAGACCACATTATTACCATGAAATGTAACGTAAAACCGAATTAATATACATTCACTGATCAGTTTTCTGCTTAGTAATGCAGTACCAATATAAGATAAATCCAAACTTCTTTTCAGTTGGTGTGAGTTTGGATGCTCCGTTCTGCAGTAATACCTCTCATAATGTCCAATTAGAACTAAAAATAATCTTCAGTATGTGCAAATATTTAAAAGTGCTTGTAAATTCTTGTTTTAAAAATAGTATAAATCCCACCAGAATTAACTAAATCTATTTAAACAATATAAAGATGCAAATCTATTAATTTATATCCAAAGCATCTATATGTTGTGCTGAAGAGATATTAACTAAAATTGAACTTTGGCCAAGCTGTACTATCATGTAATACCACTTTGCGCTACATGATGATGCTGTGAGTTGTGTAACCTTTATTTAACTGGGCAAGTCCTTTGCTCTACCTGCTATTTCTTGAGGAAATGCATGTAGAGCTAAAGTATCCACTGTTTAAAACATCTCCAAACGCCTATTAAAATTCTGCCCTCTAGTGGTTGAGGTTACCTTATTTCCAAGAATGTCAAAAAAGGTTTTACTCAAACATTATTCCTCCCAGGGAGATCTTCCGTGTCTTGGGTCTCATGAAGACCGACATGGTTAACTTCACCATTCAAAGCCTGAGGCCTCATCTCATGCAGCAGGCCATACAGTACGAGCGGGCGAAATTCCAGCAGATCCTGGACAAGCAGCCAGGTGAGAAGGGATTTCATTTCCAGCACTCTTCAATCTTCAACTTCACTGGTGCAACGAGTGATAGATGATAAAGGTGACTTTGTGAGTGCTACATTTATGGTCGCTAGATATTTCAGTTTTCAATTGAACCTCTTTTGACCCTCGTCTCTAAAGTACCGTCCTGCCATTTTTCTGCTTCTCATATATTGGGTAAGGAGTGGGACAGCCAATCCCTGAACTGAGTTTTTGGCTCATGTACTCTGCTTCTGTAGCGCTGGCTAATCAGAGTAACTGGCAGCGTGACAGTCACTGGTGCTGAATAAGCCATGTTAGCATCCATCCATTTATTTTGTTAATCGCTCATCCAACTTAGGGTCATGGGGGGAGTTGCAGCCTATCCCAGCTGTCATATAGTCAGAGTCAGCCTTTACAAAAGGCTGACAAAGAGAACCACACAGTCTCACATCCACACTTAGTTGTTTTGTTTTGGGTTGTTTTTTAATGTAATTGTTTCATCTAATAAACTCCAGAGTAGACACCATGCTTATGGAGTCATTAGACAAATAATCAGTAACAGCCATTTAGGATATTGACCCCAAGTGGTCAAAATGGGAATTAGAATCGTGTAACTCCCCGTGGTTTGATTTTCAGGATTAAAAAAATTTACCTGCAGTGGGAGATTTTTGCCAAACAATTTTTTCTCACTACTCTGGTGAGTAGTTTAAATACTGAAAAGTCTAAATAGTAAGCAAGATCATGAGTTAAGCAAAAGAGTTTTATCACCTGGGAGAGACACTTGGTGCAATCCCATGTGAAGCCTTTGTTGGGATTACTGGAGCGTATTCCAAGTGTCATCGAGTGACATGTCAAGGAAAAGGAGAAGACGAGACGGGTCCTTTTTAAGAGCAGCAAAAGAACTGGAGAACTTCAAGACATGTCAAGGAGGTAATTTAGCCATTTAAATCAGCTGTGTTGGAACAAGGACACATCTAAAACCTGCAGGACACTGGTCCCTGAGGCCTGGAGTTGGACACCCCTGTTCTAGAGTCATCACAGCAATCAGGTTTTCACCAGCTGTCTCTAACCAGAAACCACCTTTTACTGGGTCCAGCTCCTCCACCACATCCGACACCAGTTCCACAGACTTAACTCCAAGGCTATAGTCCCAGGTCAATTGCAAATGTAACATAAAAGGTCAATATATGCTGATAGATTACTCTTCATAAAAAGACAAAGTGGGATGGAGATGATTGACTTTTTAACAGAGCACCACAGTCTTAGACTAAGGTAGGTGTGGGGAAAACCACAGAGGTAAATTTAAGAAATTATTGTGCTTTAAAGGTGCATATTTAAATATGTAAATAATAAGTGCAAACACATACAAGGTAAACGCAGTTTTAGCAAAATAACTCAAGTATGAATTCACAGCTAATCCCTACATGAGTTTCTAGTTTCTACTGAATAGAGCATGTTTATTTTTTTAAATGATGGTCTCATTAGTTTAAAAATTGATGATAAAGCAGGGGATGCTTTAAGTTGCATGGAGTTATTGCTCAGTTTCTCAGTCGATCTCCGCCTCAATCATCACAAAGTCTAAAATGGGGATGGTGAAAATGCTCAGCTCGAGGCTTGACAAACCACAGTGACATAACCATGGCTACATCCATCTTTAATGAACAGTCTATGGCTCTGTCTCGCTCAGTAGCCACTAAAATCCATGATTCACTTAGTCGGTCTCATCTGTGCAGTTTCAGTTTTTTAGTATATTCTTAATCATTTCATAATTTGTCACTTCTCTTCAGATTCTTTGGACAATACCACTGCTTGGCTTCAGACAGCAGCGTCTGAGGTGGTGTCGCCGTGTGAGGCGCAGTCTGATTCTCCCGGTCCTGACAGCCGTGGTCCTTTCAGCCCCACCGCTGTCCTCAACCGGGCCTACATACGTCTTCTCCACTGGGACCCACAGGACCAGAAATACCCTGAGGTCAGCTGCCGTCTGAAAAATTACATCACGCCCATGCTTTTCATCGGACCCGGTGATATTTTATTGATTATGAGGGAATGTTCAGTTTGCCTACCCATTCCTCCTCACTGGTTAAAAGCATGTGAACTGATTTTAGACGCTGCATTAATATAATTGATGAATCATGACAGTTTGCATTTATATACTCTATGACCCCTGGAAATTCATCAATTACCTGTGGCTTCGCAATCTTATTTAGGGTTATAACCATTAGACTCTTTATTGAGGTATTGATTTCATATTTATGCGGAAAACATTGCCCCCTTGTGACCCCAATCTGCCTTCCACACACAGACCATCCTGATGGATCGGGCCCGCCTGGATGCTCTTGGTCAGCGGCTCCAGATGTTGGTCCTGGAGGCGTCGGTGCTGCTCTTGACTAACGCTCAGTGCGGCCGCGTCGTTTTCTCCCTGCAGGGGTTTGTAGGTAAACTCAGGCAGTCCATCACTGCCCTGCTGGAGGGCAGTCACACAAGGTAAGAGGAGGATGTGGTGATGCATGTACTGGCTGTCACAGGGAACAGGTATTGTATGAGAAAGAAACCAATGGAGGTGACATGAGGCAACTAGCTTGTCAGAACAGATCCAGCTAACCTCATTCTTTCTGTTCAAGAGAGGGCGTGTCATGATTAGCGGATAAATGTGGAACAGCAGCTTGTAATGTTCGAGGTCTGCTTGCACTCTGGTCCGAGCTGCAATAAAAGGCATTATTTAAACGCCAGAAGAGAAATCCTGAGCAAAATTAGAAGCCATTGCCATGGTTGAACATTTTTGCTTTGGTGTGTTGTAACAATGAATATCTCAAACTTGGCCTGGATTCATAGTTGACAAACTTCAAAAACTGAACCAATCAGCATGCGAGATGAGGCTAACTTGTTAGAGCTGTTTAGGGGTACGAGGTTTATCTAACATTTGTGAGGAGTTATCAGCTATAATCAAGCCTGAATGTTCAGATCATCTATGAACTCTATGAACTGGATCTGTTTTACCTGACTGTCTTTTATGCATATACTGTTACCATGGTGGATGCTAATATTAAACATGACCAGAGTTTCAAAATAAAGCAGTCCTAGACCGCATATCTCGGCCATGGCTGAAGATGACCTCAAATCAATTTCATAGATTTGAAAAAAAATGTTTGAATTATTTTGTGATGTTTTCTTGAAAAAATACAAACAATGTTTGATATTTGGCAAGTTCTCCAATTTTGTCAGACATTGGTTTGTTTTGTTGTGTTTTTTTTAAACTCTGGCTCTAAATTTTGTCAACAAGAGCAGGTATCCTTAATATGGTCACAGCGCAGCCTGTGAGCACAGAAGCCCCACCTACCTGCTGTTCAAACCGTCTGTTTGACAGCGACAGCCAGTCAGAAGAAAGTTGGCTTAAAAGGGAGCGTGGTCTTAGAGTTAGAGGAGCTAACACTGTTTGTTTGAGATAGTAGAAGTAGTAGAAGTGGAGTAAGGAATATTTTGAACTTCCCCAACTTTAAAATGATGGAGTCTAAATGAGGATAATAGTTCTAATTTAAAATTTCTAACACTGTAGAAGCTGTTCTGAGTTCCAGACAATCTGGCATTTGCTCTTCAAAATCTATTTCCATGTCAAACATCTGTGGCTCAATTACTCCTACGTTAGTTTTATCATTGCATAGCAGAAAGTAGTCTTTCAGTGTTAACTGTCAGAGCAAAGCAGATATGCCTCAGCAGCAGGCAAGCAGCAGACGAGGTGAGAGGGCACAGAAGACGACACTAATTTGCATTTTCATAAATACGCATCTACTAAAAAGAGGCAAGGGTGTAGAATTATATTTAAGCCATTTTAAGGAGTGCACTCATGGAAACAAATGTGTAATTGTGAAAAACAAAGATGAGTTTGTAGGAGTTTAATCAATGGGCAGGAGAGGAACTTTATTCAAAATCCTGCTCTTGGAGAACTCCTTTATTACTTTCATCAGTTCCTGTGCATAGATGCGTAGGCCTGTGAGACAATATATGTCTGATGAAGAATGCTGATGGTTGGTCTGATGCCGGTTTCTGGTGCTACAGGGAAGCTGACCTGAAGGGGGCCTTGTTGGGGATTGGGGAGATAGTATTGCAGCAGATGTCTGAAGCGCTGGCTACTCAGGGAGGAGCAGCCCTGCCGGAGGAGAGCCAGGATCTGCTGAAGGGACAAATATCTGAGCTGTGGAAACACAACAACCCAGTCTGCGTGCTTATAGGTAAGACAGGATGGGGGAAATGAAATATATCCACATATTGGACATAGTGGAAAAAATGGCCATTATAGACTACCGTTACTGGAAAAACATTTTTAAAAGAAGTATATTTTACGTAGCAAAAACTCATGTTTGGAGAATCACAATTTTCAATGGACAGATTAAACTAATCAGTTAATTTGATCTTTTTTATTTGTGTAAAATGTCACAAGAAAGACCATGGTGATATCAGGATGTTGACGCAGATCATGTTCCTTGAAAAATAAATCCTCAAAGTATTTATTATAAAAACTACAGAGTATTTGCATATGTTTTTTCCTTCTTTTTAAAAAGAAATATTATCTTGTATTTTATATATTATACGATTATAATATTTATAATACAGATAAGCATCTACTCTGTATTTCTTTATATATTGCTTCCGAAAAGCCAGACTTTATTGTAGTGGTCTTGAGCAATGGTTCTCCACGCTTTCTGAAGGTCTTTTGAACGTGTGCTTTGACTATTGGCTGCTTTTTCCACTCATTTTCTGTCCACTCCTTGTACCTGACCATTTTCACAGGAATATTTTTTGTTTGTTAAACCACTTGAACCTGACTTATGAGTCATTCAAATAAGCACTTAAGGGACAAACCAGTGTTTGTCACACTGTTATTAGCAGCCTGTTCCCATATCTTCAGTTGAATCTATAAACAACAAGAGCTATTAGCTGAAAACTTGGCATATGTTGGCATGATGTCCAGTGTGTCCTCAAAGACATTGAGAAGGCATCAGGTTTTTGGTTAAGTTCTTACTTCATTAAAATTTAGGATAACTTGGCCAAACAGAGTGGTTAAAAAAAAAGCGGTCCTGGAAAAATATTTTCATTAAGATAGATAAGTACATGTTCCTGCACTTTAATGCTGCTGAGTTTAGATAATCTCTGTTTAAACTTGGATGTGTGCTGCTGCAGAGCTGACTTCTCTCCCTCCTTCTCTCCATCAAACAGGAGAAAGGGTACAGGGTTTCCTCCAGGACACGCTGCGGGGCGGCCCTGCTAAAAGGAGTCCAGAGCTGCCTGCTCCCCTCGGGCTGCTGAGTGCTGAGCTAGTTGAGCTGGGGACGGCCTTTGGGCGAATCGTCCACTTCAACCAAACAGTCTTTGGTCCCTTCTATGCGCCCATCCTCAGGAAACTGCTGTTCCAGCCAGTAGGGGCCGAGGCTGGGGAGGACTCACGCTAAACTGAGGCTGACCCTTTCAGTTTGTAGCTACATTCTTAGGCAATTTAAAGAAACAAAGGCACAGAACCAAAATCCTGTGTTGCCTTATACATATTTACTGCCTTGAAAAAAACAAACACGTGAAAGAAATTTTAGTAATTCTGACCCAGGTGAAAGCTATAATTATTATATTTAGCCATTTTAAGACGCTGAATGTGAATGGTTTTAGAAATCAGAGCACCAAAGAACATATGATGAGTCTGTAAATAATACTTAAGCTTTAATATGTAGCTCTTCATGTTGAAAAATGTTTATGAGTAACTTACCAAAGACAGCATGCACCTTTTCAATATTTTTATTATTATTATTTTTTTCTTCTTGAATCAAAAATATACTTGTGTTTCTTTCAGTCGTTGACATTGGAGCGGGTATGTGCTACTAAACAAATACCAAAGTGATATATTTTTTCCACCAGCCATTCAAAGACATGAAAACACGTGAGCTTGAAAGAAATTATCGTTCACCTTGTTACATTTTAAGCAATATTTCAGAAAAAAACTGTTACAGGATGCACATACAATGGGATAAGTTAAATCCTAAAGAGGTCTTATTTTAAAATCTGTATTTTTTTTTCTTTTCAAAAAATACTAATACGGTTTTTAGTATTTTTCCCCCATTACATGTTATTGTAGTGAAGCTTACAAGAGTCCTGTTTTAAATGTATGTACACGCTAACATTTCAAATGTTTGGAGTGACTGTGCTATAGCTGACTGCCAACAAGCAAAGGAAGTATTCAGAAACCAATTTGTGCCCTTTTATTTGCTTCTGGCACTATTTTTGTAACCCATTAACAAACTGTATAAAAAAGATGGACATAGCCCTGGGGTCTATAAAGTAAAGCCAGTGCATAAACGCCTTAAACCTAGATTCTTTATAATGGCCAGCAGGGGCCAATTCTGGAAGCAGTCAAAGTCAGACAGTGTACAAGTGAGGAAAAACTGCAGTTCCTTTAGTGACCACTTGTGTCTCCATTGACTCTCATGTTTAATCCACAATCTTGGTACAAAAACAGATTTGGTCACAACTATACAGTTTTTTCCCCCCGCTCATACAATAAATAATAATTATAAATACAGAAGCAGACAGTTGGTGATTTCATTGGTCGCTACCTTAGTGATGCACCCAATTGTGATGATACGATACCTGGTAACTTGTATTTGTTTTTTAATAAAAGACTTATTATACTTTCAAATATACTTTTCATAAATAAAATGTTATCCGTCTAATTTATTCAAATTAGTCTTATTTTAGCTCTGCGAGTGACCACTGCATACTTTACAGTGACACTTCTCAAAGTGCCTCGAGGCTACTACTGCTGTGATTTGGCGCTATATAAATGAAATTCAAATGAACTTCTCCTTTACCTGCTGTCACTGTGAGCACACCTTTTATGCATGCGTGGGGTAAAGCCAATAACAGAAACATGAGATGAAATAATACCACATGGAGCTGACAACATGTTACTGTATGTTACTGTAGTAATGCAATAAAAGCTTTTTAACAAGTGTTACACTGAGCATAACAAGAGTGAGGACCAGTGAGAGTGAGCAAACAAGAGAGAGAAGCTGATAGAGAAAGCATCCGAGTCTGAGCTTTTCAGCAAATAAGTTAACTTATAAGTCATAAATAAACTCCTATTTCTTTGCTTTTAGCTTCCTCCATGCTTTTGACTCATGAAACACAGAAATGAAATTAATTCAGTAAAATCTAGATTTAAATTGAACAGAATGACCCATTGGTAGCAGATCCAAATATCAGATTCATCCACCCCTATCTACATCCACCTTTTATATTCAGTCAATCAATTTCAGTAAAGATAAAGTTTATATTAACTTTTTCCAGTGTTGCTTTGTTGCTTTCTAATACTTCATGCTACAGTCACACTAGGTAAAGCAGTGGTAGGAGACCATGACACGACCAAAATTATTGCATCACGTTGGAATCTGACTGCAGCACAGCCAGTCTGCTATCAGTTTGTGGCTGACTGGAGTTAAGTTCGCAGTAACATTGCGTTTGTGAAAATACAGCAATTAAATGTGATAAATGAGTGAAAATCTCAAATGCTTCAGGAATTCTCATTAAACAGAAACCAACATTAACTTATATTCAGTGGGGCCCAGCAAGCCCCTCATAGATTTGAAATTCCTCCTCAAATACTTACATAGTTGCTGCAGGACAGCAGGCAGGTTGTACTCATCAGAGTAGACTAACTCAGATTGTTTGCCAGTCTGTCTGCGTTTATAAATTAAATGGCAATTATTTGACTTTCTGGGGATTATCGTGACCAATGCAGTCGTCTTGCAGTCCAGTGTGCTTGTCCAGAGGTTTAGGGTGCTACACGCTCAACCTCTGGTTGACCACTTGGTCGCCACAACTATAGTCAATCGGTCTCCAGTTGCAAAAACTGAATAAACGAATGGATTCAAACACAAAGCAATGGGCAATTTTTTTCCCTGCTTTTACTGTAGTGTGACTGAGCTGTTAGGTTCGAGAGCTATGCAGAATGACCCAACATGCATTTTAAAGAGTCAGCTTTTCATTTTCTATTTAAATTAAATGTATACCCATAGCTGGAATGTAGCTAAAATAAAACATTTCTAAAACAATGCCAGTTTTGAAGAATTGTATTCATACGGTTAGCAAAAACATGCAAAAAAAGGACAGGCAATTCTCATTTAACTTTGACTTTGCTATACGTCCCAACAGAACTGATAAACATATACCTGACAGAAAAATGTTTCTTCATGTTGTGCAAATGCTACGTTTACTGTGTTGAATACTGATGTGTGTGTGTGTGTTTTCACCAGGCACCTGGATGCTTGGCTCTGACTTGAATGCAGTTGGAGACATGAGAGAAACAGAGACTGGGGGCTAATCGTTTGTTTAGAATAAAAAGTTGCACCACCCACTAATCTCTTTGGCAGGAGAAAGAGTGAAAGTATAATTGTACATTAATTACCATGTTTGTTGTATTTGTCACTTTAAATTTTAAACAGCTGGTGTAATGTTTCTGCTTTTAACTACTCAGCCATATAAAAGAAATCAATGCTGACAACAGACGTGAGAGGGATTCTTTAGTCTTTGTATTATTTAATGTCATTAATATAATATTGCTTTGAAATTTGAAACAGTATCACATTTTCATTGACAAACCATACTCTGTCCAGAAACATGGGCAAAGCATTGTATGCTGGTACAGTTTTTTTTCTTTTCCTCTACATTTTGTTACCCTTTAATAATAATTCCCACATTTTCAATAGACCTGAATCAATAGAAATGCTCATTAATGGTCTATATCATTAATGGTCTACAGTGCTCTAAACATTACAGTACCTACATAACAAGATCAGAAAGTCACACGGAGGCCAGGAAATAGACTTGACCTTTCTGAGTGACCTTTCTCAAGACAGGAGTGATACACAGGTCCTGTTTAGCCAGTGATGTGGGACTACCGGTTTACCTTTTAGTCTGTGTTGGGATTCATCTCAGGGGCAGTGGAGGAGCAGGGGATATACGGAGTGAGATCTAAATGTCAGAGTAAGCGCTGGTTTGGCCCTGCACATTGCATAAGGCTTACCTCTCAGTTTCTCTCTAGCTCTTTCACACTGCTCTGCCCGCTATAACTCAACACACACAAACACACTCGCATCGGCTGCTCCCCTTCAACTCACAGCTTGGTATCCGGAAACTTGAACGCTGGGGCGAGCTACACAAGGAAAACACCAATGTTAAAAAGAGCGGTTACATGCACAGCGATATCATGCCACCAAAACTTGCTTTAAATAGCTTGCTGCTCATTTAAGTGTAATGCTTTTATATTGTGCATCCATAATAGAGCAGGTTGTTTCGGTGACACACAGAATGGGAGAACATACGTGACAAAATGTTGGACGACGATGGCAAAACGAAATGAGGGTGAAGCGCTGAGTTGGCGTGTGACGGGGAGAGGGAACGTAAAAAGCGAATGGCAGGTGAGTGAGAGGAGACGAGACACTGCTACGGTACATACAGAGAGACTGCTCAGGCCAAGTGCATCAAAGGGTACGAAAACACAAACACACTGCCAACATGCAATCATCAGTGGAAGCTAACAGTTAACAGTCAGAAACAGAGTGGCAATGACACAGCCACGGTACCGCACGCAGGCCGGTTACACCGTAATAAAAAAAATAAAATCAGTCAGCCTCCACGAGCTCAATCCTTCACTTCTCCCGCAGCACACAAAAAACAAGGACAGTGGCCAGTGATGTAAGAGTCCAAACTCCCATGAGGACAGACAGAAACAAGGCATACAGCACGCACAGCAGGTAGTGCACACAGGGGAGAACCCACAGATATGTGTCGACTTCACGACGACCTTTTTTTTTCAGTCACAGTGCAGGAGGAAAATCTTTTAAGAAAAAAAAAAATGGTACCACGCTCTCAGCATTACAAATCCACTCGCATTAACACGACACCAGAGCAACATTTAGATTTGGCTCTTTTAATGTAGTGGAATAAAATCTTTTCACCCCCTCAAAGTAACACACTTTGCATGTACTGTACCTAATTCTAAACTGGAGTGAAACAGCATGGATACCTACTCAAGTAATCATGATAATAAGATGCTATGACGGGATATGTGCATCAGATTGTGCTAGAGGCTCATTAATACACCCAATATTCTTTTTTAAACTTTGTTTACGTTTTGTTTATGGTTTTTTTTTTTTGCCTCTGGTAGTAATGTTGGGATTCTTTACAATCCCTTCGTAATCATTCCCCCCAACCCACATTTCAGTTATGCCCCGTCTATCAAAAAGTATCACAAAAATCCACGAATGTCAAATTTGCACCATAAGAAAAAAAGAAAACAAGGTCTTAAAAGGGATAGTGCCATGTTTTTAAACACAGTGTTCCTTTTCATTTTTCTTTCTTTGTTTAAACTGACAATAAGAAGAAGCTGTGATTTTCAGGCTCTCAGTGCTACCACGACTGCTGAGAGGCACTGGGCAGTACAAGGCCAGAGCAAAGACTCATCCTGACAAAAACTGTACCATCTCTGCATCAACGTCATCCCAGCTAGTCACAGTCAGTTTAAATACAGCAGGAAATAAGAAGTGTTGCCTTTTTTTCTTTTCTTTTTTGCCTTTAAAGTCTTTTAGAAGCAGGGTGGAGGCGTGCAGTTGTTGGGTGGTGGTGTTCGGGCAGGTTAGGGGATTTTAGTTGATTATAGATAACCGTAATGAAGTAAGGCTGTTGTCCTTGATATTGTCCTTCTGGGTGTGTATGTGTGTATTTGTGTGAGTTTACGAGGTCTCAGTTTTTGGTCCGTTTTGAGTCCAGACATCAGTGATTAGATTCGTGACCGATTCCTTGTGGTCTTTCTATGAGTATTGTACAAATGCGTAGAAAAAACCCCAACAACAACAAAAAGAAAACACAAGTTGTTTGCTGCATGTTGCTGTTTTGTCTTTCATTGATTAATTGTCCATCTTGCATCCCATGCTATCAAAGCAGCCTCCTCATAGTGCTTCACAGTGGTAGATGCCTGGTAAGACAGGACAGGCTACAGATGGAGAAAGAAAAAAAATTATAACTGTCGAGAGGCAAAACAACCAAACAATTGTGTAAATGAAAAAGATATGTTAATAATAATAATAATAAAAAAAACTAAATATAAGCTACAGACTCGAAATCTATCTGTGTGATACCAAAAAGACACAATAAAGAAAAAGTTAACATTTTGGAGAATATGCTTGCTGGGAATTATGCAAGGGGACACAACTGTACATTTAATATGGAGCTGACTGGATTTACAGGTAGCAGAGCACCTGCTTAATTAAGCTCAGCTGCCACAAGAACCGATACTGAACTGAAAATGTAACTTTCTTTTCAGTAGTTTTTGCTGTTATTTAATTTTTATTGTATGAATTTATTTAAGCCATTCTTTTTTTGGTTGTGTTTTTTGTTTTGGTTGCTATAACACAGACATTTACCAACTTTTGGGATAAACTAAGTAGAAATGCTTTAATCTGTTTGGCATACAATCTTATAACTAGCTAACCTGCCTTTAGAAAATGAAACACAATCAGCACCACTAAAGCTCCCTAACAATGTGGCTTGTTTAACCCAGCGGTTCCTAATCTGTGGACCCTGATGGGAGGAACTTTGAAATTTGGGATGTGGACTGAGGTTGTTATAGTTAACTTAAACTGAATGGAAAAACAAAAGCTAGGTTGGAAAAAAAACCCACATCTCAGTTAGGCCTCAGTCACACAGGCCTAGAGACTGGTCCCCCTGGCAACCACGGGTCGTTAGTGGAAAATATTTAATCCCCGACTAGTTGCGGAGATTTCTGGCTGCTGCTGGGTGAACTTGGTTGCTAAAATGGAGCTGCATCAAAAACTTGCTTGTGATTGCACTGGTTGTTAAGACTGCAAGTTCACCTGTACTTTACATCAAGGAGGGTGACTTGTCTATAAACACTTGCCACAGCTACTTCCCGAGTGGTAGTGAAACCTTAGGAAGTGCACTGCAGACTAAAACTGGAGACTGTTCACCTTCAAAAGTAAAAATTGCTCTTTTCATCCAAGCAACACATTTCAACAGCACCTTTTACTTTGAAAATGAATGGTCACTCTGTGCATAATTAGCAAGTGTTTGCAGATGAGTTGGCATCTTCCATGTGAACAACGGGCACCAGTGGCAATCTGCTGGAAACCAAAACAATCGCAAGGAAAGTTGCACGATGGGCTTTAGCAACCAATTTCACAACCAATAACCTCAGCAACCATTACACTTTTTTTCCCCTAGTAACTGGAGGTTGCCAGGGTGGGAGAGGAGGGGTCGCCTGTGTCTAGGCTGGTGTGAAAACTAAAACGTGCAGTATACTTATAATCTAACCTATCTAATAATATTAGACCGTTTCTTTAGCTATTTGTTAAATAGCTGAAATTTGTCAATAATCAGTGGGAGAATGCTTTGGTGAATGTGCTTATTGAGATATGTAGCCTGTGTGATTTCTGTTTCAGCTTTATATTAACTATACACCTGTGAGACTGTCAATATCCTCACGTAATTCTCTGCTAGACATATTTCCCAAAACGTCTAACAGAAAACCATTTTTAAAATAATATAAACTCAACACTTCTGGAAATACTTCAACTTGCCTTTAGCCAGTGTGAAGTCTAGACAGAGCAAGAGAAAAAATGAGCATGCCTGTTTTGTCTGTGGAGAATCACTTTTTAAAAAAAAAAAATGGCTTGAAAGAGGAAGAATAATAAAGATGCAACCTCTGGGAGCTATCGGGGATTTGGAGGCAGATGCAAGTTGTCAGGAAGAGGAGGATGAGGAGGAAGAGGCAGTTTGGTTGAGAGAGCGGGGCCACTGTAAAATGAGATCAGTCCAGGATCATCCGTTCCAGAGCTCCGCCATTGGCTGTAGCAGCAACAGGCGACGGAGGCTGCCAGGGGGTGTTGGGGAGGCATGGGGGAGCCGCAGGAGTGTTTGTCATGGCAGGTAGGAGGTTGGTTTGGGTCGCTGGGCAGGGCAAAGGAGGGTGCAGGAGTAGGCAGCCCTGAGGGATGCTATACCATCACAGTGAGAAGGCACGGGGCTCACATGTATATATGTGTGAGTGTGAGAGATAAATAGAGAACCAGATGCAGGGGCAGAGGAAAATACAGGGGGGTGCAGAGGGGCGGCTGTGGGAGTCCGGCCTCAGAATATGGTGGTCTCGTACTTGGTGCTGATAGGGCGCCTGTTGGCGTCCCGCTGGTCCAAGAGCCAGGTGGTGCTGCCCAGGGACTGCATGTCTGGGTCCATCTCCAGGGGGTCGATCTGCCGGGGGAGGGAGGGAGGAGGGACGAGAGGAGGGCGTGAGACGTGTGGCAGTGGAGGCCATTGCGCCACACTGACAAGTCCTCAGCTCACACACGTGCATGTGGATTAGAGGTACAGTCCAGTGATCATGTTATAATCACAGACACTCAGGGCTCAATCCACAACATGGATGATGTCTGACAGAAAAGACCCTCAGCCTGTATAAGCAGCGGCAGTAAAACCAACAATACGACCCTCTGGGAGTTAAAACATACGCTGATTAGTAGTTCAAAAGCACCATGCTCTACACCATTGGCTACTGTCATAGCACAAACGGCAAAGACACATAATTCTACATGCATTACGCTGAGTAATTTACTTAGAAATACATTTGACTTTTAATTAGCTTGAAAAAAATCTCAACGTAGGCGTTTGGCAATCTGAAATTTCCTGCTTATGAAAGACACCTTCAGTTGAAAATATCTTAAAAACAGTTTAAAACCATCGAGCAGAAACAACTTCAGCCATCATGTTATTGACGCAATGGGCTAAACCCACACTGGCATAATTTAGCCAACAGTCTTCATATAAAGACGGTAAATCACATCAATGAGTCGCTCCAACCACAGAGCTAATTGCATTTTAACACTAAAATGTAAGATGAAGATGAGAGATGGGAAAATAAAAGGATGAGGTTCATGGTTGAAATACTAATAACCACACAACGTGGAGGCGAGGTGCACCGAAGCACTCAGATGCAAGAAAAATAAAGAGGAGAGGGAATTGTGTGTAAGAAGATGCATGATTAAGGATTGAATAGAGGAAAGGAAAGAGAAGGACCTGGACTCCAGGGCTAACAGAGTGCAACGGGAGGAAGGAAGGACGGTGGGTAGTACACGTGTGACAGTGACAGCAGCGGCATTCGAGCAGAGGGGCACCCTGGGAAGCAGGAGGACCAAGAAGACAAGAATAAAGACATGTTAAAAAAAAGAAGAGCGCAGAGGGACAGAGAATTTATATGCACTAAACAGACAGTGTAGAAATCCAGAAGCAGCAGAACGAGCAGTTCATTATCTGTCCTTAAAGCTCAAGAGGGCAAATTTCTCAGCATCTTTGAGTTTTCTTGTCATTGACTGTTTACTTAACCCTGTCCATGAATACTGACGGTCCAATTATAGCTTAGTAGCTCCAGCTAGGCATGGCAGTATTTATTTATACTTGTGTCATTTTTGGCCCTCCATATGGCAGGTCTGTGAAGCGTTGGATTTCTCCACTTGCTCAAGTGGCGTGCATGTGGCTATAGTAAAGATGGAGCAAAGTGTGAGGAATTCATTTACGAGTGTTTTTACTGTTTAAAGAAATCAGCAGCATGCCCAGAAGACTAGTTTAGTACCTACAAACCTACAATAACTGTGCATGCATCTGATTTGAGAAATTAACTGTCCAGGGTAACAGTATTTCTATAAATTGTTCAAATTCACATATCAATATTTGTCAGTGATCCCGGTGAAGCGATTATATACTGGAAACAGCTATGAAGGTTGCATCAGTGTTGTTCCTATATTCCAATTTAAAAAGCAAACAAACACACCAAAGATTACAAACTTATTCCCAAAGCCAAGAAACTCAAGAACATACATCATTATTAAGAAATCCACTTTGCACTGTTCCTTTACTGAGTGCATCCTGGGGTCTGTCAAAGGTTAACATTACTGGCTAGGCCCTTTTCTTTATTGAATATGGGCACATTTACACTCCAGCTAAAGTTACTCAAGTAAGCAACATTTGATCATCACGCTAATTAACAGTGGAAGCTTTGTAAAGCATTTTTAGAAATATTCTATCCACAGCACAGATAAAATACTAGGGTTAGCTAGCTTTAGACACAACAAAAAATATTTGTGCATAGATGATGAGCTGGCGAAGTTTGTGAAATTGAGCCAGAGGTGTGCAGCTTTTGAATCTGTCTTAGCACACTGGTTTAACAGTTGTTTTCACTTATGTTTACCATTTTCTGCTTTATTTCAAAGCTCTGACACTAAATGGGCAAACACTCAAATATTTTGGTTTCCTAATATGTCATGTCATTGAGTACTATTTAACCCAATAACAGTAATGTATACATGTCATCTAATGACATATGTTTTAGTCACTGCATTATTTCTGATAACTATGTATTTTAATGATAATAGTAGGGTGGGGCTTTTCCTGGCGTAAGAAATACACCGACCAATCGCAACTGGATTTCTTTAAGGGAAACAGCCATTAACGAATCTGGCCAATGGGCATACACTGGACTTTTTTTTTTTTCATTTTGAGATGCATACTTAAGATTCCTTTACAATATTTTTGTTTTAAAACCAGAGGGGGGAAAAACCTGACAGTAACAGTTGATAAATATTTTTTGTTTTAGGAAATATTGTCTTTATGCAAACTACAGAGGACAGGGCTTAGCAAACAGTCAATCTCTTCTTAGGTAAAATACATAAGAAACCTTCATGATTGTCACAGTTTTTGTTTCACTTCACTTGGTAGCAGCGAAGTGTATTAAAACAAATCGCAGCTGACAGAAATCAGCCCCCCCCCACTCTTCTCATCTAAAACTTAAACAACCAGCAGGCTCATTATGCAGCTCTGTGATCACTCCATATATTATCCTTGCAGGCAGGTAGTAAAACAATGTGATTTGTGTCTCTGAATAAGCAAGTGGTCCAGCAGTGTGTGTGCGTGCATGCTCCTAGTGGTGGCTGTGCAGCGCTCTCAGGTGACAGTGATCACTGAGTGCTTATTATATGCAGCCTGAAAGGTCAATACATCAATGCTCAGGGTATACCTGAACATTTATGCAGCACACTCAATCAGAAGTGAGGAAGCAGCGGGTGGTTCTGACCAACGAGGCTGTGCACAAGCTTAGAAAAATCCCAGAGGAAATCACACACCTCCTCCCACCCCACTGTTAGCAACAAATAAAAGGAATCATTCATCACGCTTCACATATGCACAAAAAGAAAGTCTCCTCTGATTGGAGTGACTCACAGAGCAAAGTAATGACTCATCACTTTCTACCACACGCACAGCAAATCCTCCTTTGTAGGTGGCCCATTAGGGGTTCAGCAGTGGAGAAAAAGTGGGTCACAGGGTCTGTCTACCTATTTTGAAGTATGACTGCACAATATGTTCCTTCACACCCGCTTTCCTTTTAACGTGTAGAGCAACCTCACCACTCAAATGCACTCAGAGATGCACACATTCGCCACGATTTTCTTAAGGTTTTATAGGCTGGTACTCACTGCTGATCTTCGCATGCTGCTCCAGGACTGAGATACAGGACGGCTGGTTTTGGTGTCTATGACCTCAGAGCCCAGAGATGAAGGAGGCATGTAGTGTCTCGCCCTGGACTGAATCGCCATCTGATAAGCCACCTCAAATGCCTGTCCCAGCGTTAGGATGATCTCGTAGGTCTGTGTCTGTGTGAGTGGAAAATAAAGATTCATTGTACTGAAATATGTGACGAAAAGCAAAGCAGGCAAAAACAACTTTTTAACAGCTGACTTTAAATGACCGCACACAACAAAGACAAAATCTTTATGCACTTTGCTTGTGTGCTCAGTAAACATTTAATTTCCATAAAAAAACACAACTAAGCACCTTGTATTAGTTACGCTACAAAGCTTGGACTAAAAAAGTCTTCTGAACGTGTTACAGTATTTGTTTTGAGTTAACCACTATTCAATTTGGTTAGCAAACACTTGTTTTCAGCAAATTCGCAGCACACAAAAGCGCTGCTCTTCACATTTTTAGGATAATTACTTTGTATAATTATCCACAGGCTCTTGTTTAAATATGATGCATTTACAGAGAAAAGCTAAAGCAGTTTTTAATCTGACATTCTGTGCATGGAGGAACTGTGTGAAGTATAAATAATCGAGGCTCAGCAGTGTTTTTTTTGGTCCTGTAAAGATCTTTTTCAATGCAGTTCATTAAAAAAACAAAAACAAACCCACAAACAAAAATTTTTTCCCTGCAGTTAAAGTGCCCCCACAGTGGTCGAGCTGCCAAAAATGAAACCTCACTGCTGACCTTTTAACAGACCTTTCGACTCAAATGACAACATAATTTGTGCTTGTGCATGGAAATGCCATGCATAGCAGGAGTGGGTCTTTAATCAAGCTATTTGATGAGCCAATCAAGAAAATAATCCACAGGATGCTCAAGGCAGGTTTAACTGCAGGATATATGACGTCCTACAATGGGACATTTTGGTTTTCTTTCTTTATTTACCCCAAAATTTGCAAAATGTTCCACAATGATATGAAAATATGGGGCTGTCTGTAGTGGATTATTTTAATATATTAGCATAATTACAGTGTATTATGCTTATAGTTCTAATTCTATTAAATCAATCACAGGGCTGATGTTACTCACCACTTCCACAGTGCTGAAGACATGACAGAAGTGGTGGCCGCTCTTCAGATCCTTGGTAATGTATGCAAATGTGCAGAGGTCATCTGGGTCTTGCGCGGCACATGAGATGTTCCTGATCTCATGTTCTGCTACTATAGTCTAATGAAGACAGGAATGAAGTGAGCGCTAAATGGGAATCAACCACTAATGGACAGTGAGAAAGTCGACAGCAGTGTTTGCATTGGACAGGTCAATAATCAATAATTCCCATTACCTTTGTGGCTGCATCGATGAACTTAACACCTCTATAGGTAATGGACAGTATGACAACTGGACCCTTTTTGGAGTCCTTGGATTTCTGGAATAGATACAAAAAGAATAAGTGAGAATAAAGAAAAAAAATCACTGCCTGTTTTGGGGAGTTTATTAATTGTTATGACGGATAAAAACACTTTTCAGTTATTGTTATTACAATTTAGGCTTTGTCCTGTTTCATACTTCTTTTTTCTCTCTTCTTTCCCCTCATGTTTTCACCAGTCGCAGCAGACGACTGCCTCCCAACCCCCGAACATCGGCTCTTTTGAACCAATATGCCTGATCATCTCCTTTATAATAACCTGAACACAGATCATGAACCAACAGTATTGCTGCTCACATGAAAGCAAGTTAAAGGTTTAGTTTCAGCTGTTTGCTGCCAGATACATCTAGTTGTTACTTTATTGTATTTTAGTGGACTTAAAAATTTATTTATTATTGGATTGATGGCATGAACTAGCATGGTGTTTGCCCACAATGTAAATTAAAGTAGTAAAAAAAAAAATCAACCGGCAAGAACCTGTAAGAAAAAAAAAGGCTTTTTAAACCTTATTTTGGGAAAATACCACCAATTTTTTCAAATTTAAAAAAAAAAAGTATGTTTAACTGGTTATTCTATACATAAAGTTATAGCTCTCTCCCCAACCACGCGTCAGCGTTGGGTGTTACCATGATGGCTTTTACATTTGCTCTTAGAAGGACATTGGCAAATACTTACCCTAATTTTTGCACAGGCATCTTGTGTGGACTCAATCCCTCGTAGATCCCTGATTATCAATGATCCTAGATACTAGAGGAAAGAGTCAAAACACAATTTAAAAAATGATTTAAAAGTTGGTGCTGGCAAACGAAATCAACTACAGACACAGACGGGCCATCGCAAGCACAGGATGTATTTGAATAAAAGTGTTCTACACTATTTCTTGTTTAATAGTGTTTAATAGTCCATCTATAACATATTTACAGCATATTCTGGCATCTATGCTGAAGACAGTAAAAGTGACTTACTGTTGCCTCGTACCCGCAGGAGTCCAGAATGAGTTTCTCAGGCTGGTGATGCCAGGCGGAGACCGTGGCATAGGTAGCAGAGTGGCTCGGCGGCCGGAGGTTTAGACGAGACTCTTTATGCCGGTCGCTGTGTCTGTCCTGCAGATGCAAATGAACAGGCTGCTAAATGCAATGAAGAGAACAGACTGATCCAAGAACAAAATATTCTCTGCCTTGTGTTCAATTTTTGTAGATATTAAAGGGGATAAAATGCTATTTTTTCAATGTTTTGCAGGATCTTTGTAACCACACTCATTTCAAATACTAATTTGTGCATCCATCAAGTTGGCAAGGTAAAGGGTTTCTGACCGCTGAACATTAGTGTGAAGGCAGATGTCTGGTCAGCAGTTTAATGCAAGTCTTTTATGCTAGGAAACGAATAAATATTATGCATGCTGGGCCTTAAGGTCAGTGTAGGCTGTGCTCAGTGCTTTCATGAATCACTGTCAGAGTAAAATATACTTATGATGATCATTACACACTAAGATTTTATGGAAATTGTAAGTATTGATTTTTATACAGCAGTGGTACCATATTCCCTTTCCTTATTTGTGGATGCTCCCGTGTGCTTCCAGATTGGCCTCAGTGAGTCAGAAAGCAGCTATGCCAGCTTCACTGTTTGTGTTGTAGTTTGACCTTTAACAAATGCTAAGATTTGATCACTGTGTTATTCTTGGTTTCTTCTCTTAAAGAAGAAACAATAGTCTACAAAAAAAAAAAAATGCTCAATGGCACTTCATGTCTTTTTTGTTTTTTCTTCCTTAGACTACTTCATCACAATGATCATCAATTTATTTTTTTTATATTTTACACATATTTTCTATATTCTATTTATCAGTTTGGGGACTTAATGGAAGTTAAGATTAGCTTAATTAGCTAAAATTACACATATTTATATATAAGAAATAAACTCAAGTTTTTGTTCATTAAGAATCAGCAGTGCTTCAAATGTTTATTTGGACAGGGAGAAAATATCAGACAGATGATTAAATATGACATTGAGTTTTCCAACTATATTGATTCAAAATGTCAGCTCCAAAATGTGGGTTTCCAAAACTTTCCATCGACTGTATTTTCTACGTACATCTGAGCACATCCTTAAGATTAGAGCCACAGGGTGGTATGAGCTGATCAGGATATCTCCAGGACATCTCCTAGTTGAGGTTTATCAGGTATGTCTAATCAAGAGGAGAGCCTCAGGCAGACCTAGGACATACTGGAGAGTTTATATATCTCCAAGATTAAGGACTAAGCAAGAGCTGTAGGAGGTGGCTGAGTGGAAGGATGTCTGAACATCTCTGCTTAGACCTGGCTACGCAGCAAAAATACAATGTAAAAACCCAACAACCTTGAATGCACCTCTGCTTTTTTCACTGGTTCTAGTTACATTTTGCTTTAATCAATCACTCTGCACATCCACCCTTCAATGCAAAACTTCGTTTTACATCCGGACCAGCACAACACATTTAACTTTCGGCAGCATTTATTTATTTGTTTCTTTTATTTATTTAAAAAAGAAAGAAGAGGTCAGAGTGATGTGATTATTTAAAACGGAATACCAATACCCCCAAAGTTATTTCTAATTGATAACAAGCAGGAAACAATATGAGCCTCAGTACCAAGAAAAACCCAAATGTTAGACACTGGATAAGACAAATGATGTCAAACCTATGGCTAGAAAGACTAAATATACTGTAAATATTATGTATGTTAGATTGAAGGTCAAACAAGGGTTTGTAGAAAAGGCTTGCAATTAATCTGACTGACTTATTGTCAATGGTTTTCTGTGTGCGGAAACAGAGAACAGGCTGTTTTCTTTGCATCTTTGTCATTTCTTTGTGCCTGATTGTGCTCCTGCATCTGCTGAAAGCTACAGACATTGTTGGAGAAAAGCATTTAGGTAAAAGAAGGTGGCACTCACTACAGAACGTGGCCTCTCGCTATAAGAACGCAGAGATACACTACAGTCTTGGTCAACTCCTCTTCGCCTCCGATCTGACTCGGTCAGGGGAAGGAGCATGTCCATGGAGCGACTGGTGTAGGGGTCCAGCTGACTCAGGGGAGATGTGGTCTGGGATAGGAGGTCATGGAACTGCCATACGCATCGACACACACACACACACACACACACACACACACACACACACACACACACACACACACACACACACACACACACACAGATTAATGATTTGAAAGCACTGTCTACACAGGCTGGTTTTCCTGATCTACATCCAAGCCTAATCCTCGACAAAAAGAGCCTCTTCCATGGAGATTCTCAATTCTTTTTAGCCCAGTTTAATCTGCCTGGGAAATCAGCCCTCAGTATTTAACTGTTGTGAACATAATGATATTGAAGAATCTCATTCCAAAATTAGATTTCCGCTGCAGAAAGAAAAAGGATCCATTTTCTCACAAAATGATGTCGGTATAGAAAAACAGCTCAACCGTGCCATGCTGCTTTACACTTCAGCTCTGTCTGGATTGTTGTAGAGTAAGAAAAAAATAAACTAAAATATAACAGCACACAGGAACGAGGCTAAACATGCTGAGGGAAAAAAAAATCTCATAACAGACAAGAGTGACACAATATGTGTGTTATACCGAGGGTATGAGCAGAGCTATCCTTCTTACTAAGCACATTAAGCATATCTGATCTATTAATCGAATAAGTGTCGACAGTGGTTAAATAGCAGCACTAACACTGCTGCAGTCTGGCTGGTGCTTTAAATAAAAACATCTTCCATCTTTTAGAGCTGACCGTATTTTTGTGAATTCTAGAGAAAATGTGAGAAAATATGAAATGCATTACCATAATTGGGGACAGACGACGGGACTTAGATGGAGCCTCTTCGTAGGGTCTCTCTGCTAGAGAGGCAATGATCCTCTTCCTGTGACCCAGAGGACCAACCTTAATAACCTAGAGAGGACAACATCAGGGCATAGCATGAGACTTTCCTGTACTCTTAGATCCATATCTTACATACAGGACTTTATCTAGACTAAAATAATATAGATACTTTATATTCAAAATAAACTGACACAGAGTTGGTGGCAAGCACCCCTCACTGGCAGGCATCCACAGGCAAACAGAAATGACTCTCGTCAATAATTCAACCTCAATCTGTTTTGCCGTAAGCTTGAAGTACCGCACTGTCTCCTTCTCGGGACGCTCTATAATTTACGACCCATTTTTGGACATAGTGCTTAAAAAACACACAAGACTTTACTGATTTATGTAGGATAACATGTGACATATGAAAAGGATAAAGCATAACAGTGTCACTATGTAAATACACACTGTGTTTGCCATTCACAGTATAAAAACACTGCTCGTCTATCCACAGCATCTGTCTCGCTAAACTTTTTTTTTTTACAAAGGCCGCTGCAGCTAGTGAGACTCAAATCATCACAAAAGGAACAATAAGCTAATTTTATATAGTCAAAACCCATCACCCCAAAACTGACAATTTGCATAATCGGCTATTAACATTCATGCTCATCCAGTAAAGGTGGATGTTGAGTGATTAATGTTACATTTGCAATTATGTCACGGGTACAAAATATTCCATAACAGGCTCATATGATTCTTTGTCTAAAGCTTCAATTATTTATTCAGTGGGAGTCGGAGGCAGAAGAGGCAACTGGTTTGTGTGCTGGATTTCTGGTGCTGTTTTCATCAAAACTATGTGCAGAATCCCAGTGAGGCCAGTGTGCACGAGGCCTGTGAAATGAGACGGAATTTAAATAGTAGTAAAGAACACCTTGGGATTATACAGGGAACCAGCTCATAGATCATCTCAGTGCTCGATGCTGTTTGCAGTGAGACGCTGAGGAGGATGTCGGAGATGTGATGGGCAAAGTGAGTTCAGATGCTGAGAGGCAGTTCTGCTACTCTGCACACTGAAAGTAATGTGCCCTGCACTCACACCCCCATCCTTGTGCATCGCAGTCTGCTGGACACCATCTCTCACACACTGCATGGACAGTATGCTTGGCTGCTGCTCGACTGTTGCTGCTGCTGCTGCTGCTGTGACTGCAGCTGTTGCTGGTTTCTGCTAATTTACCGCCACAGTTTTTTGTGTTTTTCATAACTATGCACACAAACAAACTGAGTGAGAAGTGCAAAAAAAACCAAAACAAAAAGAAAAATGATGACTCAGTATCAGCTTTGTTGCGGTGCTGTCTTTGCGTATGAGCCATATTGGATCATCTCATTGCTGGTATTTTTTTATGAGTCACAACAAGAAAAATAAATAATATTTTCAACACAATCTGTTATAAATTAGAAAACACGGAAACATTATCACCACATTAAAAACTGACAGACAGATTTTGATTCCATATACATCAGTGATCCAGTCAGACCCTCTCTCAGAGTAAGAAATATTGATCACATTATTGCAGTGAACAAAGGAAATGCACAATACTGTTGGTTGATTGACAACCATTTGGTCAAATGAGATGGCTGCATTCAGACAGCTGCACAACACAAAAAATTGTATTGGCATATAGATGGGATTTATGTATTGCTTTATATAACGCACATTCCTGTCTCATCACATTCTGTCTGACAAACTTGCTTGTATTGACTCTCACAACCCTTGTGTCTCTGCTGCTCCGATGTCAGCAACATAACCCTATGACACGTTTGGATTATCCTATTTTCACATATGAAGTTTGGACAGTTTTAGGAAAATCAAGTTGGGATATTTTCCAGTTGTCATCTCTCACATGCAGCATACATAAGGAAACAGCCCACTTCAGACATGTTCTAGTTTGGACATTTACTATATATATATATATATATCCACTATGATATAGGCAAGAGATCACCACTCTCTCATGGTAAATTACCTTTTTATGAGTTTCTTGCTCTTCACATGAGCAAGATGATATCATAACACCGAATTTACACAAGCTTCTCCTTCTTATAAAGTGCAAAAAGGAGATAATGCTGCAGACATTGCACAGCTTTCATATTAAAGCAATTGATCAACAATAAACTTTCACTTTGCAAGATCTCTAGCATCAGTTATAAAAAGTGAAATGTGAATACAATGTGAATAAACCAGGTATCAAGTGGCAAATGGAAAAACATCAAAAGGATGCCTATAAAGTTGTTGCAGCTCAATACTGCTTAAGCGCTTTGATTTGTGACTCCAGCAGACAAGGCCATGGCTATTTGCAAATCGTCATCACAGGCAGATTAATCCATTTGGATAATTTACATGTAGCCAATATTATCAATATTTCATTATAAATTATTTTTTAAAAAGAGCACCGTCTTGAAAAATCTCTAACTAATGATCATGTGTTTTTCTACTTCCATATTCTAGTAATAATGTTTCAAACCTGTCAGAAAAACACTGTTCTCCATGTACACACAATCTGAGAAATCAATCCTCCTACACATGTTGCACCCATGTTTCTAGGCAAAATTAATAAGACCGCCTCTCTAATTACAAATTATCATAAAATGTTACACTATTTCCATACGGATAAAACCAAATTACATTTCTCCATGTCATCAGTCACAACTTTGTCTCTTAATTTACACACATCTGTTAATTATCCACTAATTACTGTGTGGTGATTTTGTCTCTGCTGTAGTTTTATGCAAATGCTTCCATCACGAAGCATTTCTGATATTTCGGCTCAGCATTTTAAAGTACTGCTTAACTTCGTTGGGAGCCACATATTAGGATGGCCTTGTTATTAAGGCTATGAGAACTGGCTCGACTTCATCCATCCACAGAGTTAATCAGTGCTGGACTGTAAACCCTCAAAAGTTCATAGAGCTTAATACAAAAGCAACTAATTATCAACTAAGGCAAACTTAAATCAAATGTTTTCTGAATTATTTTCCAAGTACATGCTATATATCTGTACTTTAATTTTAATAACTGTACACTACTGCTTTGGTAACTATTGTCCATGATGTAAATATATAAAAATGTTTGTGTGTTTCTGTTCTATGTCCTGTGTCCTGTTCTGTTTGTATATGTGTTTTTTTTTGCTGCTGTTCCAACCAAATTCCCCCCTGTGGGACAACTAAAGGATTATTAAATTGTATTCTATATCCATTTTTGAATGTCACATTTAAATACAATCAATATTCATTATTCTTGTCTTGTATAAAAGGTATGGTGAGTGATTATGTGATTATTTATTATTAAAAAATGTCTCAATTTATTTTAGTTTTCTTTCATTTAGTCTTAGTTATGACGGGCATGTATAATTTGTTTTTTGTTTTTTTTTGTTTTGTTTTTTTTTCGCCTGTCCCATTTGGTTCTTTAGCCATCAGAATTGTTGTCTGAAGACCAACAAGGATACCCAATGGATTTACTTTGCCAAATGGATCATCGTGGCATTGCCGTATTGGTCCATTTGGTCGATCTTTGTTTTTATTATTTATTATATTTTATTTTCAGATGTTACAGACAGGGCATGTATAATTTGAGAATATGATTGCAATATAATATATTATCATACAAACTTACCTTTTTCAGTTTCTTTAGACTGCTCTCTCTAATGTACCGAATGAATCCAGAAACACTCACACAGACCTCTCAGTCTCAAAAAAACTTCATGCTAGCTGTGTTAAAAACAATTGCCAGAATGACAAGTGACAAACGAAAACAAACTACATTTCCTCTACCGTTTTGAAATTAGTTTTGGAGCTATAAAATATAGTTTCTGTGTCCCTGAGTGCATGTTTTCCTGGTGCAGAGTGTTTTTTCTTGCATCTATGGTTTTACCTGACATTAGAAAACACGCTAGGTTAATCCTGCTTATGTCAGCCCACGACACTCTTATGAAAGATATAATCAGAATCTGAAGAATTTAACTTCCTGGTTAAAGAATAGCTTTATATAATACAATGACCTGTATGATTGCATGCTCTTGATGAACATCAGCAAGACAGCTTAAAAATATTAACTTTAAAGATTTTCTTCCTTAACAATGAGCAGAGCATGCTCACTCCTTGCGGTGCCACAGTGTTAGTCACTAGCTCACCTACCCACCTCAGCCATGACAGCTTTGTTATTCAAACATGAAGGTAAATAAAACACGACCCAAGCAACTGAACTGTAAACATAATGGTACAAATATAGAAGGAGAGTAGCGCATACAATATTAATGGGTGAGCACTGACTATTGTAGACACAGTTAAATACTTAATACTTACTTAATTATATTTTTAGGTAACATTTATTTTATCGAAAAAAAAATGTTTTCGGACTCAGAAAGGGAAAAATGTCATAAAACATTGCAAAATGTTAGTAGAAAAAAATAAGTAAAAGTAATTTTTTTGCTACTTTATGCATTTAATTACTCGTAGTGCATGCATTTATAATTTGAGTAATCAGTGGCCTCTTACATTGATGATCTCCAGTTCCCACAGGTTCTTAACACACTCCAGTGTGCGGTAGCCGCTGGCAAGAAAGTTGGGCAGATATTCATGCAGACCAAGGCCATCCAACCAAGTGGCAAGAGATGTGCTGCCATCACACCCCAGTGCTTTTACCTACGGAGACAGATGCATCTAAGTAAGCAAGAACTGTGACTTTATGGAAGGACAATTTGGGTTTTCTACCCAACTAAAGCTGACTGCTGCAGCGGCCATGCTAGGCAAGTAGCTTAAAAAACAGCAATGTCAGTTCAGCTCTTGACTGGAACATCAACGATTGCCGGATGGAGTGCTGTGAAATCATCATTTATAATCCCCGGGGAAGGTTACTCCTGACTTTGCTGATCCCTACATATTCCATCTAAACTTTTCTCATCTCCAGAACAAAAATGTAATTTGTACAACACTGCAAAGCTTATGATCTTAGGTGACAGCTGCTTCCACTTCTTTAGGTACACTTGTTCAAGTGGTGGTCTAAAGGAACTAGTACATGCCCATGCTATAGCATTGTTTGACCTGTTCATGCTGGTGGCCATGAAATGAAAATGATATGATGCTTTGCTGTAGGCACGTAAATAGGTAAGTTTAGCTAACTGCTATGTGGTTGCTAGGCAACATACCATAGATCATGTATAATTCAGTTTTTGTGGATATAAATGAGATGCTACTATGATGACAAAAAAAGATACAATACTTTTAGATGGTGTTATAATTGTTAAACACTAAAAACAAGTCATTTTAGCCTGTTGCTTAGTACAGTAATTGCTAGGGAATCTGATGACATCAGAAACCTGATATACATAATAACCTTCAGGAGCCTATGATGTACCTGCGTGCCAAGTTTGGTTGCTCAACTCCTGACTGTGTAGGAGGAGTTAGCAGCCAAAAAAACAAACACACAGACAGAGATTTGTAACAGTAAATCAGTGGCACGTAGACATAGTCAATTTCTGCTCAAACCAAGTTCAAACCAAGAACATGGAAAAGAGTTGCTTTTAATAAAGCAGTTTGGATAATATTGTTCCATTCTTAAAATAACTTCATCAGCTTCCTTCATAGTCCACCTCAAAGTAAATATGCAAGAAATGGACCTTGGAGAAATGGAGGTGTCGCCGTATGCAGAATGTAGAAGGCAAGATCAGAATGATTCACTATCGTACTCACGATGGTAAGAACAAAATTGGCCAGTGCAACCGTTACATGAATTTAACAGTAATTTTGCATGCACAGTTGGTTTTTGTTCAGTTTAACAACATTTCTACAAACATCGTAGTGAAAGAGGCCAAATGAGTTCATTAAACTGTAATGATTTCCATATTAACCAGAGTTCAATCTCACAGAAAGCATCTGTGAACTAAAACAGGACTTGCATCATAATGCTATCATTTTAATGTTTTTAACAGAGTCACCGGTTAATTTGTGGATTAATGTTACAATAATACTAGCATAGTATAAAACATAATTCCCTCAAGCATACCTTATATTTATTTTTTTTATTGTAAATGAGGAGAAAAATTGTCTTTTAAAAATGGATAGTTGTCTAAAAAAAAAGTAATAACTAGTGTTTTATGACTCGTTTTTTCATTTGCAGTGATATCAAACAGATATCAGAGTATAACAAACACAAATAAAGCCACTCATCCATCCATTCATTCATTCAACTATCCTCTTAATCAGTTGTCCAGTTGAGGGTCACTGAACTGGAGCCCATCCCAGCTATCATAGAGTGAAAAGTGTGTATTCCTGAATGAAAGATAATAGGTTTTAAATGAACCCACTCTGTCATTTTGTTTGCTTAGACAGCTTTGTTGCTTCAGGCTTAACCCACTCTATGGACAGCATGAATACTCCTTCAACACTATAACACATATCAGGGTGCCATTTATCTATTTTTAGCTTATTTGCTATTGTTAGTGAAGTACTTGTCCTTATTGGGTTTTTTTTGTTATTTGAGATCCTGTCAGTTGCTGGTCTCCTTAGTGCTGAAGATAACCTACGATATTAAGCACCTTGGGCAAGTTGCGTGCCGCGTGGAGGATTTTCTTTCGATGTCCTGGATCAGTGATCCCGATGTCTCTGAGATCCTGGTCCTCCATCACGTTACTTCCCTGCATGTGCACAAACACAGGAGAGACACACAAATAAACACATTCACACACAGGCACACCCAAAGGCGTAGTCATCAGACATACGTGCATGCAAACAATCACATACACACAAGCACATAGACAGTACGCAGAATGAAAATGGATATACAGAACAACAGTATGCAAGAAAAATCATTTATAATACCGTGTACATATTTGCACAGAAATAAACAATCCACTCAAAAGTATCATGACTTGCTCCACAGCCTTACTGCAAGGGTAAAACTGTGACTGAAAAAATACACACTTGCTCTTAACACACACCGCATGCGCAAACACGCAGAATATGCACATCTCTGACACAAGCAGTAACAGCAGAGTGGGAGGACAATGAAGTCAAATAAATTGTGCGTGCCAAGAGTAATCAATCTGATCTGGTGCGACTCAGCAGGAACAAAGCCTTCAGAATTGCTGCTGCGTCTCCAGGATCCCTGTGCTGCTGTGCTTCATCCAGGGACACCAAACAGTCCAAGAGGAAGTATTCCACAACAATTTGAGACTATTTGTTAATTTAGGGTGTGGAAACAATGAACAATAGATTTTTTTCTCACATCCTGAAAGCTTCAAAAAGAAAATTCTTCCCTTATTCAAATCACAGCCCCACTTGCTTCATCATCTTCTACTGGTTTATAGGTAGGAATGTAAATACAAGGAGAACCATGAAAATGAAGAGCTAAGCGTTTTTCCCTGAGGACTGCTGCAGATTGATTCTCTCTGGCCAAGAATGTTAAAATGTTCTGTAGTCTTTACTCAATCTGCTCTCTCTGGATTGGTTTCAGAGCACAATGCAGCAGTATTCACAGGCCTCTATCAGGGTGCAGTTGGGAGATTACTCACTGATCGCAAGAATAAAAGGTCAAAATGAAGCGGGCCTGATGTAAGGGAGGTCCAAAAATAGATCCTCCACTTTTATTAACACGGTTGGAAGTTTGATGATGCCTCGGGAGACTTTGCAAACTTGTTATTTCATGCCGCATTTGAAACATGTGACAGGAATGTATGGTTCAGTTCTTACATAGCTTATAAGCTATGGTAGTGTGATTTGATCTGATATGCCTTGCAGATGTAGCCATGGTAGAAGTCCTTCATCTCACTAAATGCACTCAGTTAAGGCAACAGTGAATTAGAACTGCTCCATTCCCCTTCTCCACAGAGGAATAGTTTGGAAGCATAAAGATTTTCCATTTTTAAAGCAGACGTAACAGGGAAATGATAAAGAATAAAGAGTTTACGGATCAGAATGTTGATGTTCAGCTCCATATTACGATATTCGAAAATGGGGGGGAATGTAGCGTCTGATGCAATATTAATGCAGAAGAGATGCAATACAAGTGGATGATGATGGACAGACTTCTAAGATGTTCTCCTCCACTAGATTGTTTATCTAAAAAAAATAATAATAATTTGTGTATTTTTTCACTCAAATGAAATGTGTGGCCATGAAGGCCAAGAGAGTGAAAGCTACGGGTGCCCCACTTTTGGTAGTGCAAAAATGATTATCATCGTGTAAAAATTATGAGAATGGGCACACAGCTGTTCATAATTTATGATCCCTCAAAAGCTGCATCTCAGAGCAATCATCACATGCAGAGAGCCTTGCCGACTCATGTGAGCGGCTGCTCTTGTGCGCTGACGGGCGGACACAAGGAAACTTTCCAAGCAGGACTATACAGTGTATCTTAAGCTGTGACAGCAGTGGGTTGTGGGCACAGAAAGGCTTGCGTGCTGAGACTCCTGTCACTGCAGAATTAAACTGGGAAGAGCTTTCAATCCCCTCTGGGCTCACAAACGATATAGTGTTTAAAGTAAAATCTGCTCTGGGTTTACCCTGTTTTTATGTCAGCTGATTTCCAGAAATGGTTAAATATTACTACATGTTCCTCTGGGCTCCATTGCATTGTTCCTAAATACAGTGTTAATACATAAATGAAATCAAACATGACGGGGAATTAAAAAGGAGCCACAGTACTGCCCTCTACTGATCACTTTACTCAAATTTGCAATGAATCCCACAAATGAGTTCTGATATTTAAGTTCAGTTAGATTGATGACATCTGAAGCAAGCCTAGCACAATCTAAAAGGTCAATATTAAACATTCACAGTGCCTGCCTACTCTGACCTTTCTTCTTGTTTGCAACCTCCACATCCTTGTAAATATCCATGGCTAATTTGCCTTGTGAAGCTAATGATTTATTTCCTTGATGCATCAAGTCTAGCAGACACATTAACTGTGGCATGAACATGAACATCAGAAAGGCTAATGAACCAAGTCCACATCACACTGTATCCTGGAAATCTTGATCTACATGGATTCATTCAATCCCAATCAGACGGTAAAGCTCGCTTTTTGTTCTCTAAGTCTACTATATCTACTAAATGATGAATGTTACATTTTGGGCAAAATAACAAAATACAGGCAGAGATATTGCTTAGTCAATTGAGGATGACAGTTATTCTACCTGGTTGTTGCATCTGGCTTTTGTTGGCTTATGTTGCCTATGTAACAAATCAATAAGAAGAACAGATTTCTCCATCAACTAAATGAAGTACCTGCTCCCACATGGTCATTTGCAAGAGGACTAAAAACATATAAAGATTAGATTTAATCAGTCAAGGTTAGAAATCATCCTTTTTTAGTGCCAAAGGACTCATCCCCTCAAATCTTATGCACTGAAGTCTGAATTTAATACAGATGACCTGAGTTTTGTCTAGTACAGTACAACTGGCTGAATCCATAATGTGTTTTTTGCTGGACATTTTCTGACTGAAAAAAGTCAACTTGCCCTTTTGTTACTAGTGTTAATTACATAACAGCATTTCCAAATCTCTCAGTGTGTAAATTACTTCCAACTTAATTAACTCCAGTGTATTATTCTGGAGATAACTGATTTATTAGTGTAGCTGTAATCACCTACCAAATACTGTATTCCTTTATTTTTTACAACCATGCTCTTATAGTTGTGTTATCGCCTCATAAACAAATATAAAGCTGAGTCCATCTGAATGGTCACATTCTTACAAATTTCCACTATACTGCAATCTCATTTCTACCCAAAATGGGAAAAGAAATCCAGAAAAGACAGTAGCACTTATAAACTATACTGATTTGTCAATACAACCACTCTTTTTTTCTGACCTCACTGGTCTCACTTGACTGAATTCCACTGTGACATCAGACGCACTGTATCATATAACCCATGGTGCTATTGCAACTCTGTGGCCTGAGAAATGTTACCCCCAGGCCTACTTATTTACAGCATATAGCCATGTTTTCAGAGAAACATGACTATCAGATGGAAAGTGGTGTTTTTGGCTATCCCTGTCAAATGCAATATCAGGTTTCCTCACAATGTTCTTTACGGGAAACATGATAAAGCTTTCAGACAGATTGTGGACATCACTTTAGTATGAATATATTAATATTAGATTCTTACTGTTGCATAAAAAAAATGCTAAATTGTATATAATTCTTCAATAACTTTTTATGTTTTAGGAAAACTTATCTCTGGCATCATTTTTTAGCCACCACAGTGGAAAAAACTGTGATTTTGATCATTTTTTACAGTATAAATAAAAAATTTGAAAATAGAAAAATAGATGCATGCAAACATATGTAATGCAATTGCAGCATATCATTGTAAAAAAAATACAGCACAACAGCATGCTGCTGCAGTGTAATCATCTCTTGTACAGTAAATGCAAGATAGGCCCACCATATGGATAGTACAGAGAATAATCTGTGGAGGATTTAATAAGATTTAGCAATCAACCATGCAAAGTGTATCTAGGATAAAACATGCTGTGCTTATATTAAGAATTGTTTGTCCTGGTTAAGTGACTATACCTAAACAGAGGTCAAGTACAGTGGCTGTAAATCAAGGGAATCGATGTGGAGACAGACATTTGAATTTTGCAGTAAATGAGATGACTGGGAATGCTGGGAAAAAGTTAATGAATGTTGGCTGTCTGTGTGTTCCCACTGGTGACAGCTCATACTCTTTATAGGGATTCAGGAAGAGGCCATAAATTTTAGCTGGGTCATGCGTTGCACAGAGGTGAGGAGGAGTTATGGAGAGGAGATGGGAAAGTGTTATAAAGGAAGAGAGAGAGTGGAAGGGTGAGTGAGAGACAGAAATAAGGGGGCGTGGAGTTACCAAGAGACAAGCAGAGTGGTGACATAAAAAGACTAATGCAGCTTGTTTGACAGTGGAGAGACAGGGTGATGTAAAGTGGAACCGACCCTTGAGATGACATGCTGCAGGTGACTCACCATGAATCGTAGGTCATCAAAGCCATTGAGCAGGAGCTTGCTCTCGTACTGCGGCAGCCCCACGTGCTCCAGCCACTCTCCCACCGGCTGGTCCAGGGCTTTACCACAGGCCCCATCTGCCGAGAGAGGGAAGCGCTTCAGCAGGGAGAAGCCGTTCAGCCGGTAGCAGCGGCACTCAGAGGACGACACATGGCATTGCCACATCATCCTCGGCCAGCAGAAGCAGAGCCGAGTGCAGCAGCACCAGGCAGGGTAGGGGGGAGACAGGGTCCAGGCCGGGGGTGAGGGGCTCCCACAGTACAGGCGGGGGCCCGGCTAAACTCAAACACAGGAGGAGGAAAGGAAGTGCTGCAGGCACCGCTCAAGCCCTGCAGGGGACTGACTAGGCTAATATACACCCACTGTGTGTTAGTGTGACTGACTAGATATGTCAGGCAAGGGTGGAGGTAGTGCGGGGAAGGGAGCCCATCTGAAGCTCTGTATTGTTAAGTTATGTTGGACTGAGCCACTACAGCATCTTCCAACAAACCGAGCTCACTAAGCATTCCTTTAGTGAGCAGATGAGCAAGTGTAAAAACAAGTGCCTAGTTCGTCCAAAATCATTACAACACACCACTACAAGTCAAGAGACTAGATCATTTTCAGACTGAGTGGAAATGGAAATTATGTTTCACTAAATAAGACATTTTCATATACCTGACATTATTTACTCTGTTAAAAATATCCCCGTCACTTATTCTAAAATCAGAAACTACTCCATCAGGATGTAACACAGAAATACTCAGCTCCCCCAAAATGAATCTGTCAGGATTTTCACCACATACTTGTAAAGCTCTGGCTGAGTCCCATGGCTTCATTGGTCAACCTCTTTGAGAGCTAGGACAAGGCTCATACAATGAAGGTAGCAGCATTCTAAAGTACTGTTGAGGTACGCGTGTAATTTTTGATCAAGGAATAGACATTTGCTTAAATCATATTTCGTCCTTACTCCACAGCCACACGGAGTACGGTCAGGTAGACATATTGTAAATCCTACATCAAAGAAACGTTGGCTTAGGCTTTCCACAGTGTGCTGATTCCAAACTCCTCAATTCATAATAAAATCCAAGTTTAGATTCCTTGATAAAGCTCCAGGTAAGCTGTCTGCCAAAGGAAAAAGGCTCAATGTCCTTGGTGGTACCAGTGCTCCCTGTGCTGCCCACATTCACACTTTTCAGCAAGCTGCTGGATGTGCGGCTAAGCCAAAGAACGTGCTTCTCATCTCTGAAAGCAGTAAATCCAGGTTCAGATCCAACAGATGGCAGGTGAGCCTCTTGACTCTGAAGCGAGGATCACTGCAGGACCACAGTGCCGGTTAAGGTAGCTCCTTCCTGAGGCAGGCGCCCCCCACTCCCTCCCCAGCCCACCTGGTTCTTCCCCTTGCTGGGTGCAGCTAGCAGCCTCTGTGCTCAGGGCAGAGGTTTGCTGCATCCCCTGCCTGTCGGAGACACGCAGGCAGCGCAGATGCAGTCACAGCAGCTGCTCCTGGCTCACACACGCTACCCCTCACTGCTCACAGGGCATAGCGTCCTCACGCTGGCTACTTCTACACAGGAGACCAACGATCTGCCTTAAGCTCAGCCACTGCCGCCACGTCCTTCTCACATCCACGACAGCCAACAGACTCACTGTTCATCCCCCCCCCTTCTCATCCAAGCAAATCCCTCAAGCTCTTCTTTGTAACTCCCCCCCCCCTCTTGTCTCTCTCGCTTCTCTCAGCTTTCTTTCTCTCAATCTCATAGCCCCATACCCATACTGTGTGATCGCACTGCAGGGCTGCCGTATGCTGCCTGATGAAGTGGGGTGCTGCTCCACGTAACCACCTCTCTCCCACTATATCACTTCCCCTCCCTCTGCCTCTCTCTCCCTCTCTGGCTTGCACTCTCCCTCACTCTGTCTTGCTCCTTGCCTCTCGTTCTCAAACACACAGACAGATGCAAACGCACGCACACTTTCTCTCTCGACTCATCGTCTGTCTGTCTACCCCTTCCCATTATATCTTGCTCCTCTTTCTCTCTCAATAAAATGCACACATACTCACTCTTTTCTGGCAGTGCCTTTCTAACCTTAACGTACCTCTCCCCCTCTCTCCCCCTCCACTGCACTGATTAGAATTGCACAGAAGCACTCTGATCTTGCCAGTGGAGAAAGGACACCACCATCAGAGGCGAGGAACAAGCTCCGAAAGCCCCAAATCACAGTCTTTTCCAGCTAAGAATGACTAGAATTTAAAGGGATGATGGGACCTCGATCCAGTTCTGCAGGAGCCACGCCAGTTTTTTTGGCTAACATGGGATATTGAAACAAAGACTCTGCTCAAATCCCTGCTTATTACCAGAAGGCTTTAATTCATTTACATCTTACTTTGATGATAGGACAAGGGGGGGCAGCATTGATTCAAGTCAGCAGAGTTTTTAATACACTTGGAGAAGAGAAGAGAAGAGAAGAGAAGAGAAGAGAAGAGAAGAGAAGAGAAGAGAAGAGAAGAGAAGAGAAGAGAAGAGAAGAGAAGAGAAGAGAAGAGAAGAGAAGAGAAGAGAAGAGAAGAGGACATGTCGAGACCTGCCTCTTCTCCATCTCATCCAGCATGACAGAAAAGAGGCAAATTCCATTATGTACTTCCAGATGCTCATGTCATGTCAACCATTTTTAGAGCACAACAGAGGCTTCTTACAGGAAAAAGCCGGCATAAGAAAGTAAGATGACATAAAATTTTTAGAATTGGGGTTAAAAATAAACAAATCAGGTCATGTGTGGCATTAACATGTCTTTAGTAATCTGATCACAACTGGACAACTGCAGAAGTTCACACTTGGCATTTGAATGCCAAGCTATCACTTTTAATCATTTGCAACATCCCAAGACATTTGAATTGGAGGTAAAGACAATACAATATAACCCCAATGATTGAGCCCCCTGTGAGCTAACTCTTCATGATGGTGGGAAGTAAGGAACCTTGTTTAACTGGAAAAGACACACTGTAGAACCAGTATCAGGAAGGGGCAGGCATGTGCCTCGACTGGTTTGGGGGTTGAGGGGAAAGAGAATAAGGGGAAAAAGAGAGACAATGACAAAAACTAATGATAAGACCAAATACCAGATTCCTGCTGCAGTCTAATTTTTCAAACCAGCATCTCACTGCTCTACACAACAGCAGATTACTGTAAGCTATCACTAAGTAGATGGCAGTACCTTCCTGAGCCAGGTACTGCCAGAGGTTTCTTCTTGTTAGAAGGGAGCTTTTCCTTCACTGTCACCAAAGAACTTTCTCAGAGGGGCTTTTTCTTTCTTTGTATTATTGTAGGCTTTACAATATAAAGTGCCTTGACGCAACTACTGTTGTGATTTGGTGTTATGTAAATAAAATTGAGCTGAACTGAATTGAATTGCATTAAAGTGCCTTTCACAAATTACAAAATCATCCAACAGTCTTTCGCAGAAGTAATAATAAATAATAACCACAGGTGTTCAAACTGCTAAAGCCAATGGCAGATGCACAGCTGTATTTTAGTGACTAGCAAAGCTTCAGTTGACAAGTGCAACTCTGCAGTCAAGTGGCTGAAAAATGAAGCCAATGCTAAAGTACCTGAAGTGGATAGCTTATAGTTATTGAACTGTAACTTTCTTTGTGGTGTTGGTGACCTTTTGACATTTAAACAGTTCAAGAGTCTGTGCCTCAGTTTTATTGCATAAAAATCTATTATTTTATGTACTATTAGAACTAAATTGTGAATATGTGTGGTATGTGCTTTGCACCTCCACGGTTTATGGAAGCATTTGCTAACCAAGTTTAGCACTTCATTTTTTCATCTAAATATGTCCATCTTTCATTATTCTGTCTTTTTTCCACAACATGTCAGGACCCACTAACCCAACACCTGAGCTTTGAAATGCAGTCTACACAAACCAATCCCTGATGTCCCAAATGTTACGTTCATCTTTTATATACAAAAAAGGTGAATCAAACCACCTTCAATGGAGGTCTGAGCTATGTGATCTCGGTACATCTTGAGTATATTCACACCTGTAATTAGAACTGTCCACTTGTGATCTTGACCAAAAATGCATGTTAATGACAGGTGAACAAGGCTTGAAAGACTCTCTCACTCACTTATGCAGGGTGTCCAGTGGTGTTATCCCAGTACAGCTCCAGGCAAAGCATTATTATGCAGGCTTTCAAGCAGCCTGCAATCACCTCACACATTCCCCAATGGGTAGCCAGCCAGTCAGTAAGGTAGAGAGGGCGAGGAGAAGCAATGACAACACAGGGAGGCAAAGTGAAGGGCTATTGATTGAACCTTCTCTTTAATTGGCCACGTATACCTTTGTTTCTTCGCCCTTAACAATTAGGTGAAAGGCCAAGTCAGGTCTCAATGACCTGTCAGTCATCCACAAGGACCGATGCTCATCATTCGTTATCAGGAAAAGAGGCTGCTATTAAATTTTCTGTGACTGAGGACAAGAATGATGGATAGGGGGAAGGAGAAAGGAAGGGAGAAGGAGAGAATGTGCAAGAGAGATAAGACGGAAAAAGACTAACAGAGGAGGCGGCGATGAAACATATGGGTGAGATAAGATGGTAATAGGAAGTAAGAAGGATTGAAGTGGACTAATTATGATTCACTACAAGATCCCACAACTCCTCCTTCTCATACTTTACACTTTTCTTCTAAGCCTCATACCAATCTCAGCTTTTACGATACAACAAAACTGCTCAAAATACCATCCACCCCACCCAATTTTTTTCATTCTTTTGGGACAGGAACACCTCCCACGATAGTAAAACCTAATTACTGACTGACAGAGGATCCAATTCTCCTATGGGGGGTGGGGGGAAATGGGTCACTGTCTTATCCCCTGTTAAACAGCCCAAGCTGTCAAATCTGTCCAAGTGGGTTTCTGTGCTGTGTGAGCACTACGAGGTCTAGACTTGGCTCCACGGAACACCCCAAATGGCCTATTTACCGAAGAAGAGGTAGAGGTTGTGTGTAGATAAAGCCATGCCTTTTTATCAGAGCAGGAGAAAAGCAGTAGCTCCTTGTCAACACACCCAAGCACTGGAGAAAATGAGCCGCAAAGCTGAATTAATTCAGAGAAACTGAAGGCGGACTCTTTTCCTTTGAACGTCAGAGTGTGCCTGTACACAAACCGAGCCGATGCCTCCTGTGTGCTGTTAGCTGTGCGGTCTCTCTCCAGTCCCTCTCTTATTCTAAGCACATTTACTCAGTGAACTCTTTCATACAATCAAGGCACTTGTGATGGGCACACAACACAAACATCATTATCTTTGAGGATTTATATGGTACAAAACTGCATTAACATTTTGCTAGCCGAGAAAATCTGATTCTTTTCAGAAATTGCTTCGAGAAGATGAATGACCATCCTTCACTTGTGTTATGAAGTGGATAAGTTTTTCCTCATCCTGTCACAACAAAAGCTAAAAGTGGAATAAAGATTTACAATTTAGGTTTCCATCTTTGCATAATCCCTCCTACATCTCTCCCCTCCTATCTATGTGTACCTCCTTCCCCATGTGATTACTCTGAAGGGTAGCCGATCCTTCCCTTACACAGTGAAAAAAGGAAATATGACCTTTTTATTAAGAGAGACACAAAAAAAGCATCCTGGCAACCATCAGAACTAGTTGTGCACAATCTCCGATTTAAATCGGAGCAGCAAGTGTATGACTCAGCTGAATCTGGGACACTTTCAGCATGTCATTCTTCAAACAAGGACTATTAATAGTACACACCTATAAGTGTAGCGAAAACAAACACCATATTTGCTCTTACGTAATGTGGAATAACTCCAGGTCTTAATTGCTTAGATAGCATTTAATCCAACACTGCTCACTGAGCTGGAATTTAAGTCAAAATTAAAATGATAAATTAACAAGCTTTCCTTAAAAAAAGATATATTTGAGCTTAAAGATAATGAATGAACAGAAATTATCCTTAAAAGAATTGAATTGTGATGAAATAAGTACATTTAATGATTTCTAAGAACAGTTTATTTTTATTGTTTTTGATATACTTTCGTCCTCTTCTTTTGAAAATGTACATTTCTAAATTGTGAGTTTCTTAAAAGCACTTTGATCGGCATTTTTTTACTTTAGGGGAAATCATAAACATTGAGAATTTTCACCATATTGTTGCCACTCAAAAAGCTGTATAATGTTTATTTACTTTTACAATATAGGTTTTACTTCTCAAGGCTAACAGAAATCAATTGTCTTCCTGACATGACGACTGAAAATAAAATTTAATGCTAAATCCAAAACAGAAAATTTACAATCTTCACTATTTTATATTAAAAGTGGTCAAAGCAATCACATAAATACACCAAATGGACATTTGTAAGAGGAATACAGGAAGATGTTATGGAAGAAATGACAGCATTGAATCAGAAATATGATGAAAGAAACTCTCTCGTTAGCAGACACTGCAGCCCATAAAGCATACTGCACATTACTAATGAAAATGTTATCCCAATAAATCTGATGAGACACGTAAAACGCAGTCCTGTGCAGAAAAACACCCTTACACAGTCCTGTACGACAAAGCCTCCTTTCCTACAGAGTATGTAATGGGGGTAGGTTTACACTGTATCAACTCAGTTGCGTTATCTAAACAAACTGAGATGATGCCAGCTGGCTTCTCCCTCTGTACTGCCTGAAGGACAGTTGATGAAGCGTACTATCAAATCAAGCCCTATTGAGATCTACAGTACCACGAGAAAAAAAATTACAACACTGAGGGGAATTTAGAATTTGATTTCCCATGAAGTGGAAACCTTGTGAGTAAT